CACGGCCAACACACGTCAGACACCGTCCCACCCCGCCGCGGCCCGCTCCGCCCCAGGGGATTCCGTCCAGCAGCAGCAGCAGCGCGTAGTCCTGGGCGCGCCAAATCACCCTCCCTGTCCTTCCCTTGCCCTCCCGCTCCCCCCCGCGCCGCCTTCCCTCGCGCGCGGCCCCAAAACAAAATGATTCCGACGGCCGTGCTCACATTCGGGAGGGGAGCGCGGGGCTGCCGGGCGCAGGCCGCGCGCCGCGGGGGTGGACTCCATGTGTGCGGCGAGGGGTGGGCGCGGCGCTGCTGGTGAAGTCGGCGCCCACCACACCAGCACGGAGGGCGGAGCGGGGCGGCCGCGGAATGCACCAGAAAAGCAAGCGCGTGGGCTTCCGCACGTCCACGGCACGCTGTGGCTTGTTTTTGGTCTGATGCCCCTCGCGAACCCCAACAACCCCCTACCCGCCTGCCACCACCCACTCCGCGCCGCGGGAAGCCCGGCCACGGCGCGCTCGCCAAATCCCAACCGTCCGCCGATGGGATTGTGTACCGACCGGAGTTACTCTGAAATCGAAATGCGCGCATTGCCCTGCCTCCCGCCTCCTCCGCCCCTCCCCCGCGCCCGGGCCCGGGAGACTTCACCATCACGGGGAGCCAGGCAGGCGGGCTGGGTTGGGTCCCCAATCCCAAGCAAGAACCCCACCCGAGCAGACTGTCCCCGGTGGCGGGGCGGGGCGGAGGTTGGCAGGCTTTGCAGCACCTGGGACCAGTAGCAGGCATAGTGCGGTGGTGTGCGCGGGCGCGCGCCCGTTTACGGGGCGGGGCACTGGGGGAATTATAGAGGGGCGTGGCGGGCTGCGGGGCTCGACCAGGCCTGGCCATGGGCCTGGCCGTGGGCCTGGCGCACCACTACCAATACCATATACACTCTGCTCCTCCAAATTGTCTTGCGCCTGTTTCTAGGACGCGTGTGGCGTGGGCGCGGGCGAGAGAGGGGAAATCTCGTTTTCCCAGGATGAAAAATGCAGCAGGCGGTGTCGGCCGGCGCAGCCGTGTGCGCGGAAGAGAGGCTGCTGCCGCCGCGGCCGTGGAGGGCGAAAAATGATGTTGTGCCAGTCGAAATGAGCAGCGTTTAATCGCAGAAGGGTGTCGAATGGGTTGCCTAACCACACGGCGCTCGAGCGGCCCGATACTTCTACCTATGCGTCCGGAAACAGACTCCAGATAAAATACATTTCGTGTATTCTTGTTTTGTAGTGCTGCTGCTAACGTCTCCCCCCTGCCGCCGCTCCTTCTGCTTCCCTAGGCGTATTTCAGGAGCGGCAGCAGCGGGACGTGTCTTTTTGCGATTCCACTGACCTCCCCGCCCGCCCGGCCTGTGCTGCCTCGGTCCCCTTCCCTCCCGCCCGGCCAACCCCTGCGGGCCTTGAGCGCAGTCGCACACACACATACACATCCTCCCCCTCCCTCCCCCGAGAGGCCCCAGGGCCTAGCGCGGCCCGGAGCCCCAGCCCACGCCCCAGCCCGGCCGTCCCGTCCTCTCCCGCTCGGAATCTTATCAGAATGCTTTCAGCTCGGGCTCTGGTCCCAATGGTCGCTAGCAGACACACCCTTCCTGCACGGAGAGGGGTGGTGGACCCCGGGAGGGTCGCGCGCGGGGGGTGGGGTGTCGGGGGACACGGCAAAGGCAGGAAACGCCTGGTAAGAAAGGGGGAAGGCCGGGCGTGGCGGGGAGGGCCGCGCGCGGGGGTGGCTGGGGGACAAAGGGACGGCCAAATGGGTTCGCGCACGTGCTTCTCTCTCTCTCTCTCTCTCTCTCTCTCTCTCTCTCTCTCTCTCTC